TATTTCACACATTTTCTAGCTTAGGCACCTTTCTTCATCACAACATGTTTACTTCAAACTCTCCTGTCCTTTGTTTATTTCAAACTCTCCTGTAACTCTCCTGTCACCACCATCTCTCCTCCTTTGTGTCACAGTAAGGAACGGGCACTTATTATTTGATGGACTGGGACGGACCCACTTCAACTGTTTGCCTCTTGAAGCATGTCTCCTGGAACATTAGAGCCAGGAGATCCACATCATGGGGGGGCTGGAATTGATACTGTGGAATCTACAAGACTGGAAGCACATTGTTAATATGTTAGTATCATCAATATCCATCAGCATCAACAGAAGTGCATGTGCTAGAGCCAAGTTACTCAAATTTAAGTTAGGCCACTACCCACCTGGGTAACTTTAAGCAAGTTATTGAAAATCTTCATGCCTCCGATTCCTCACTGTAACACTGGAGCCAATAACCGTCTGTTTTCACACGGTGTCATCTAACCATAGCCAACTACAGTCTAAAAATATTAAACAAGATTTCAAGATGAAACAACTTGTCCATTTTCAATTACACACCATTCCAAGTAAGGTCACGAATCCCCCGTTGTCCCCGCTCTGTCCTGCCTGGATGTGCATCGTCCCTCTGGCCAGTGGAACCACTCTGTACATACTACCTGCCCACTTGTCACTCAGTAGCTATCTACATTATTTGGATTGACTGCTGCAGCAGCACAGTGCTGGTGTTCAAGTAACCCTACTTTACTTAAAAATGGCCTCAGAGAACAGGAGTAGCAAGGATCGCAATTTGAATGTGCCAAATTGAAGCTATAAAGTGCTCCTTTTAAGTGAAAGTTTATCCTCAGTGTGTATGCATGGGGGAAATAGAGTATATATAAGGTACAGTGATATTTGTGGCTTCAGGAATTCACTGGGGTCTATTGGAAAATAATCCCTAAGGATAAAAGAGAACAATTATTTGATTGTTTTGGGTACTGAGGATTGAATGAAAGGACTTTTTACTACTGATCTACATCTCCAGCCCTTGTTTTTTTTTGTTTTTTTTTTTTTCCAGACAGGGTCTCAATAAGTTGCTGAGGCCGGCCTTGAACTTGTGGTCCTCCTACCTCAGCCTCCTGAGTCTCTTATTTTTTATTTTCAGACTGCGTCTCACTAAGTTGCGGAGGCTGGCCTTGAACTTGTGATCCTCCTACCTCAGAGCCTCCTGAGTCTCTGGGTTACAGGCATGTACCACCACATCCAGCAAAAGAGAACAATTATATTCTTTTGAGGAGTAAACAATTTAAGAATGCTTCAGACACCCATGTGATCATAACTTGCTACTTCATCTCCGTGGCAACTTTCAGACAGCATTGACATTTTGGTGGAGATGGGGTACGTTTTCCGGCTTTGGGGCCCCTTTCAGGATAAGAGCATAACATAGGCTATAACATCAGGGTCATGTTTAATAAGCTAACTGCATTCAGAACTTGTGAAAAGTGTTTGCTTTTCTCTGTGTCTCCGAAGCTCTTCCTCCAAAATCCCGCCTTTGCGAATTTTACTTTCTTTGTAAATAGGAAATTTACCAGCAAATTCAAGCAACTCGAGAAGGGTTTGCATTTCTTTCTTTTTCAACTCTTGAATCTGCATTCACAGAGGCTACCCATTTAACCAGTGAAACACACTGTGGTTATTCACTGCCCGCCCCCCTCCCCCCCCCTGCAATCAGTTTGCCCCATTAAAAGGTGACAAATGGTGATTCCTTTCAAGTTTCAAAGAGGCCAGTTGAATCTGGGCCTTCCGTGGCTTTGTTAGGGAAATCAAGTGCCCAGAATTGTTCTTCAGCTTTCCACAGTTGCCCAGAGGTCATGGGAAAGTGGAGATGATGCGATTCATTACCGACTGTGACATCCAGACACAGCACGCTGACCAGTGGCACTGCTGTGCTGTCTCTGTGAAGCAATCGGTTTGCACATAAATGCAGTGGAGACTCTGAGTGGCCAGAGTTACAGCTGTACCCACCTGGCATGAAGTCAGTGGAAGGGAGGGACGGGGATTCTCCACTCCTTTCTGTGTCTGCCTCTGGGAAGACGCAGAGCCTTCACTCCTGCTTTCACGCGTTTTCACTTGTCAGGCATTAGCGATAAAGGCTAGAAGCAATTAAAATGGCCTGCCCCTAAAGCAAGTGTACACAATGGCCCTGAGAGTGTCTGCGTACATCCTGTAGATTGTTAGACTTGGGTTATTTTCTGCCCAATGAATTTCACTACACAGTGGATACCCTTATTCTCTTAGAATCAAAGAATCTCCCTCCTTCCTTCCTTCCTTTCTTCTTCCCTCCCCCTCCCCCACCACCTTTCTCTCTTTCTTTTCAGTACCAGAGATCGAACCCAGGGGCACCTTACCACGAGCCCCATCCCCAGCCCTTTTTATATTTTATTGAGAGACAGGGTCTCACTGAGTTGCTCAGAGCTTTGCTAATTTGCTGAGCCTGTTCCTCAAACCTGCAATCCCCCTGCCTTAGCCTCCCGAGCCGCTGTGATAACAGGCATGCACCACCAACACACCCAGTGAGAGGCTACTTTTTGTTTATTTATTTTTTCCGAGGTGGAGTCTCACTCTGTTGCCCATGGATTTGTGATCCTCCTGCCTCAGCCTCCTGAGTAGCTGGGATTACAGAATCACACTCAGCTTCCACGTTTTCCACAGGATTCCCAGGTAATGTGCAGGTACATTAAAGTACTGTTAAAGGTATATTCAGGGCCCTGTGTGCAGCAAGCGTCTAGATGGGCACTTGAGGGCACAGGGCAACCAGGCCTTCTGAACTCTGAGTCTCTTTCCTTGGTTTCCCCACCCCCAGCAGCCCAGGGAGCACTGTGTGACCAGGACACTCAGCCTGCACTTGCACTGTGACAAGGACTTGGGACAAAGTAGGTGGAGCTCTGCAGACCACAGGCCACAGCTCCAGGAAGTGTGGATCACAGCCCCTTCAGTTCAGAGCCTTTGGTGGCCCTGAGCAAAGAGCAAGCACCCACAGCCTTTGCATAGGGAAGGCAGAAACAGGGCAGTGATCCAAGGGCTCTGGACAGCAGAGGCACTTCTCTGATGACTTTTCTGTTTTTGCCTTTGCACTTTTAACACTTCTTTCAGAATCTAATGAAAAAAGCAGCTGGTGTCCCTGTTTCCAAACACAGAGGGAGGCTGCATAAATTTGCATATTATTTAGGAGAGTACTGACGCCCTCAGGCTGAATCAAGAACCACCCAGGGGAACTGTAAGTTGGTGCAACCACTCTGGAAAGCAGTATGGAGATTCTTCAGAAAACTGGGAATGGAACCATCATTTGACCCAGTTAGCCCACTCCTCGGCATATACCCAAAGGATTTAAAATCAGCATACTATAGTGACACAGCCACATGAAGGTTTATAGCAGCTCAATTCACAATAGCTAGGCTATGGAATCAACCTAGGTGCCCTTCAATAGCCTTCGACAGATGAATGGATAAAGAAAATGTGGTTCATATACATGGAATATTACTCAGTCATAAAAACAATAAAATTTCAGCATTTACCAGTAAATGGATGGAACTGGAAACTATCATGCTAAGTGAAATAAGTCAATCCCCCAAAACCAAAAGCCGAAAGTTTTCTCTAACATGAGGATGCTTATTCACAATAAGGGAGGGGGAGAAATTGAGGCGCTTTGGATGAGACAGAGGGGAGAGAAGAGAGAGGAGGGTATATCGGGCTGGAAAGGACTTTGGAATGAATCGGACATTATTACCCTATGTACATACATGATCACACGAGTAACTCTACATCATGTACAACCAGAAGGATGAGACGTTATACTCCATTTATGTATGATATGTCAAAATTCTATTGTCATGTATAGCTAATTAGAACAAATTTTTAAAATGGAAAAAATGAATCACCCAGAAGGGGCTGGGGTTGTGGCTCAGTGGCAGAACTCTTTCCCAGCATGTGTGAGGCACTGGGTTCCATCCTCAGCACCACATAATAAATAAATAAATAAACAAATAATGGGTCAATCTACAACTAAAAATATTTTTGAAAAAAGAAGCACCCAGGGTTCACATTTGCCAGGTTAAGAATCCCCTACTTGCAGAAACACTAGATAAACTCATAATAGTGATGTTCCTTATAACACATTGAAAGCTTTTACTCCATGCCAGAAATTATGCTGAGCAATCTGCTGACCTTATATCAATTAATCCTCTCAATAGTACTGCCTGGCCTGGCATGGTGGCACACACCTGTAATCCCAGTGGCTTGAGAGGCTGAAGCAGGAGGATTGCAAATTCAAAGCCAGTCTCAGCAACTTAGAGAAGCCCTAAGCAACTCAGTGAGACTCTGTCTCTAAATAAAATATAAAAAGGGCTGGGGATGGGGCTCAGTGGTTAAGCACCCCCTGGGTTCAATTCCCAGTGCCAAAAAAAAAATATTAATAAAAAAGTACTGCCTGGTTGGACTTTATTGTTACCACTTTATAGATGAAGAAACTGAAGAATGGAGTATTAATTGCCCAAGGTCATACACCAATTAAGAGGCAGAAGTGGAAATCAAGTGCCAACCTGACTGCAGAAAGTATACATGTTAATCCCCATGTAACTGTCTCTCCGGGATCAAATACTAACATGAATAGTAAGGCAACAGCAAAGGACTTAAAATCAGCATACTACAGTGACACGGCCACATACATGTTCACAGCAGCTCAATTCACAATAGCTAAGCTATGGAACCAGGCTACATGCCCTTCAGCAGATGAACGGATTTTAAAAAATGTGGTACATATACACAATGGAATATTACTCAGCCACAAATGAGATTATGGCATTTGCCGATAAATAGATGGAACTGGAGGCTATCATGGTAATTGAAAGAAGCTAATCCCGACACCAAAGGCCAAATGTTCTCTCTGATATGCAGATGCTAACTCACAATAAGGAGAGGAAGGAAGAATACAAGTTTATTGAATTAGACAAAGGGAAATGAAGGGAAGGGAGAGGGGGTGGGAATAGGAAAGATAGAAGAATGAACGGGACATCACTTTCCTATGTTCAAGGATGAACACCCGACCAGTGAAACTGCACATCATGTCCAACTATAAGAGTGGGACGTTACACTCTATATATGTATGATAGGTCAAAATAACTCTACTGTCATGTATAGCTAAAAAGAACAAAACAAAAAACAAAAAAAAAATAGTAACAACAGGACTGGAGGTGTAACTTAGTGGTAGGGAAAGCACTTGTCTAGCACATGCAAGGTCCTGGGTTCTAATTCCCAACACCACAAAACATAAAAATGAAAAATATGGCAACAAATGTATCTCATGTCCCTGAATTATATATTTCAAAATGGAGAACGTGATCAATTTTACCTCATTATATGTGAGGCCACAACCTCCCCCTGAAAATGAGGTTTGGAAATATTTCCATGCCCCCCTAAAAACTAATGAAGTAACCAAACAAAAACGTAGGTGATTCTGCCACTGGTTCACCAGACTAGACACCCCAGCTGAGTACTGCTCCAGCCACAGACCTCAGACCAGTTCATGTATGTATCACTTTCAGGACACTTTAGCAATTACCCTCAAACATGACACAGATTTGATATATTCATGCAGGCCTTGCAAGCTATGGATCTTTCTAGAAAGTATCATTGTCCCTTATTCTGCCCTTAAGAACCAATATGAAAAATTCCTGCCAAACTACAGCCTTTAAGGAGGATCTTATTCCCAGTGGTTCAAATCTTGCGCTGACTCCTTGCTAGTTCTGCAGCCCAGGGCAAATTTTAACCTTTATGACTTTATTTTCCCGACTGTAAAATGGAGATAACAGTGAGAAAAACTTCCAGGGTGATTGTGGGGATTAAATGAGATGATAATGATGTAGGACAGATGAGGCTGGACACCTGAGGGACTTTCAGGAAGCAGGTTTAAGCTGCAGTGGTCCAGAGGGGCTCATGCCTAAAAATCTCTGGACCCTGAGATTTATACTCAGTAGTGTGGTTACATGACAGTGGGTAGGTACATAGCAATTACTCTTTGTCCCACATTCTTAATTATTAGGCTAAACAGAGGTTTCACAAGTTTGAGGGTTTTGTTTCATTTTGTTTGCATCGGGGATTGAACCCAGGGCACTTAACCACTGAGCGACATCCCAGCCCCTTGTTATATTTTATTTAGAGACTGGGTCTCATTGAATTGCTTAGGGCCTTGCTAAATTGCTGAGGCTGGCTTTGAACTTGTAATCCTCCTGCCTCAGCCTCCCAAACTGCTGGAATTACAGGCATGCATCACCATGCCCAGCTGGTTTCACAAGTTTTTACCAAGAAGACAGACATAGTATCTTTAGCACAGCAACAAGCTTGCTTGTAGACCCAGCTTTTACAAGAAAGAGGAAGCTACAAACCACAAGGAGAGCTCTCTGCAAAAATCCTGCTGACATTCTTTGTAAACATCAGTTGACAAGAAGCTTAATTATGGTGGGGGGCAGGGTGTCCTTGGAGAAGCTTAATCATGGTAAAGGTCTTCTCGGGGCTATTTCAATACAAATAAAACTTTTGAGAATGCCTGGTCTAAGGGTGAGTATTTAACACATACTAGTCTTGGAGGCTGGGTGTAGCTCCATGGTAGTGCGCTTGCCTAGCATTTGTGAGGCCCTTGGTTCCATCCCTAGTACCCCGTCCCCCCCCCAAAAAAAAAACAAATACTAGCCTTGGTGATGAAAGTGATGATGATATTTGTAAACAAAAATAATTCAAACAGTTCTTGCACCATAGGAAAGTACAAATAACCGGGGTGGAAGCCAACGTCATGGATCAGCTGTGCCTTTTATTTAGCAGTGGAGTCAGGCATCGGGTGGCTGTCTTTCTGGGTAGAAAATAGCCCTGATTACAGGGGTGGTATGGGTTTATGTAGGTTGCACCCTGGGAAGTGACCTAACCATTAAAGGCTTTAACAGAGCATATCAGTTTGGGCATTCGGGAAACAGGTAGTGAGGCTTTGGAATTTGTTTTTACTGGGCAGTGTTTTTTAGAAGACAAGAGTGAAAACCCAATCTGCTTGGTCCGTAGTACTGTCACTGAGAAGGACAAATTGGGAAGGGATCGATGCTCACCCTTTTCCAGGGATTGTCTTATTACTGGGTGAGGTTTGCTTCCTTCCCAGGGATGATCTTGTCCCTGGGAAAGGATCAGTGTTATCAATGT